TGTCCAAAGTCAGGTTCGAGCCGGTATTTGAGTGGTTGTCGTTGGTTCATGTCTGTCATGTTTGTTTTTCGTAAATTGTTTTGTTATAAATTAGGCCGTTACTTTTCTCAAATGAGTTGTTTCATATTTTTCATATCGGGGCCTTTTATAGCCGACCATACGGTATGGGTTTTCCTCATTGTTGAAGGCCGTATGGTTGCCTATAATTGCTTACTTCCACTTCATTTGAACTTTAATAGACAGTTGTCTCATTGGCAATTATACCGTATTTTCTTATTTTTATATTATACAACAAGTATTACATAAAATTAACATTATCAATGTTCCATGTAAATGAGGTAATGTCAGATGAACTCTGCCATAAAGACATGTACACCTTGCTATCATTCTATACACCAACTATATTTGACCCACTACTCATGGTACCTTATATACGGACTTGTCCACGGAATGTTAACCTCGTTCACTGATCCATGAAATGAGGTCGGGGTCAAGTGAACCATGTCTGATGGACATGTAGACTTTGCAAGGGTACCATATATTAGTAACGAAATATAGTTATCCTGTAGAACTCATGATAAGTGAGACATTTAGCTATACAGTTTTTAGCAGTCACTGAACCATGAAAATGAGGTCAAGGACAATGATTATATGACAGACAGGAACTTCGTAACATAATGGATCTATATACAAAGTATGAATCATCCAATTCCTTTTCCATTTGAAATCATGATACAGCTATACAAATAGTTTACGCCGTTGTCGCCACCAACATCAGATTGTATTCTCTATGCCTCGCATTTTGCGACTTGCGTCGAACGCGAGTTAAAAATTTAAGAACAACTGGAATTAGCTCTATAACCTAGACCTGGTAGACAACGAAACGTGATAGCTACTTCTAGCTTCGGCAATTTTTCTATATTGTTTCAATCTGATTTAAATTCTGATCTATATGAACTCGCGTGCTCGTATATATAAACTCATTGATATGAGGATAACGAAATCAGAGATCTATATTTTAATTAGATTGGTGTTGTTTACAAGTGTTTGTAAATTACATCGATGCTGTACATTACCCTCTTTTTGTCGAGCCTGCGACTTTTGTCGCAAAAGCGAGACATAGCGATCCTACATTCCGTCGGCGTCGTCGTCGTCGTCGTCTCGTCTTCGTCGGCGGCGTTCACAAATATTTACTGTGTGGTTAAAGTTTTTTTCAAATTTTAATAACTTTCTTAAACTATCCTGGATTTGTACCATACTTGGACAGAAGCTTGTTTATGATCATAAGATAGTATTCAAAAGTAAATTTTGTAAAAAAAAAAATCCTGTTTATCCGTATATTACTTATAAATGGACTTAGTTTATCTGCCAGGTAACATTACATTCACTCTGTGGTTAAAGTTTTCAAAATTTTAATATCTTTCTTAAACTATCCTGGATTTGTACCATACTTGGACAGAAGCTTGTTTATGATCATAGGATAGTATTCAAAAGTAAATTTTGTAAAAAACAATTTCCTGTTTTTCCGTATATTACTTATAAATGGACTTAGTTTTTCTTCCAGTTAACATTACATACAGTCTGCAGTTAAAGTTTTTAAAACATTTATTAGATTCATAAACCATCCTGGATTCTTACCAAACTTAAACAGAAGCTTCTTGCATTCAAAAGATAGTATCTAGAGGAAAAAAATAATCATTATTTCCCCATTTTTGTTGAGCCTGCGACTAACAGCAAAAGAAGGCGAGACACTGGGTTCCGCGAAACCCTTACGAATTTTTGTCGATAATCTTTAACTTCATGTCGATTGTAGGCCAATATATGCTCAATAAGTCATATTTATATATATAAGTGTGTAAGATGGAGTGATTAACCTGTTTCTAATTGTCATTTTGTTCAGTTTCATAACGTTGACAGACAACCCTCCCCCTTTTCACCGTTTGCAGTATTTCTTATTTCTATAAAGCAAAGATACACCCAGACCTGCATATTCAATAAATTCTACGTTAATATTACACCAGTTTTGGAACTAAATACAATTTGATGTTCTTCCGCACTCACCAAATGAAAATTGGATATTTACCCACAAAATCATTTATAGTACGAATACCTTCTATCAAAAGACGAAAACAAATAATATTTTGGTAGGGCAACTTATAAATGTTAATATCCAAAAAATATCTCTAGAGATCACTTGTATCGAATCCTATGTAAAAATTCCGAATTTGGAAATTTTAATAGGTCAAGGTCACTGTTATTTATATAACATCTGAATGAAAATTGTAAATGTGCACCCTATAAGGGACTTATCATTTTTTACCTGGGAGGGGGGCTGGTCATTTTGAAATCATACATACAAAATTTCTTGAGCCCCCCCCCCCCCCCCCCCCCATAATATTTCACTATTTTTATTTGATCCCCCCTGTAAAAACATTTTAAAAATGTGACCCCCCTCTATTAAACATGCAAAAATTTTAACATGCAAATCACTTATCATGTTATTTCAAGGAAATATTGAAAATGAAGTATTCTCAGTGGATTGAGTCCCAAATCATATTTGAGGGAAAATTGCCTTGAAATAGGGCTCTTCCATGAATATTTAGTAGGTAGAGCAAGCCAGTGCTTTGAGTAGCTTTTTCTGACTTTTTTTTCTAATTTCCTATATTGGGCTATTAAAGAAAACTTGATTCTGAGTAACTCTGTAAAAAATATACATTAAAAAGTAAACTTTTTTGAAACAGTAACAACACATTATTTATATGTCCCTCTCTTGAAAGCTGCCGAAACTTAAGTTTTACGTATGGCCTTATTGAAACCTCCATTGAGTCGCTAAACTTTTATATGGATAGTTCATGCTTTCAGCTTGAACAATTCTATTACTCATTTATTTTCACATTTCATTCATAAATGTGTGATAGTAACCTCAAATTTTTGATTTATTAGCCTAAAAAGTACAAATTTTGAGGGAGTGAGAGGTATAAATGGACCCAAAGGGTTCTTGTAATCAGAGACATATAATATAATATGTATTATATGTCTCTGTTGTAATGAAAACAAAAAGATACATTGGCAATAATGCTTGTTAATTTAGTGATCGACGTGAGTGAAATATAACAACTGAATTATTCGGATTATGAAGCACCTATGCATTTTATATAGGTCAAAAAGACACAAAATGGCAGCTTCCTACATCACCAAAGTCTTGTGATGTCTTACTTAATTGTACATGAATGGTGTTAAAAATATATTTCGATTTGACTGTTGTAATGTTCTTCTTGACATTTTGTCTCTTGAAGTATGTGAACTACTTATTTCCAAGTGCAAAAAATATTGATCCCCCCCACTGAATTTATAAAAAAAATTGAACCCCCCTTGTCCACATACAGAAAAAAGCTTGATCCCCCCTGCATTTTGACCAGCCCCCCCCCCCCCCCCTCCCCCTCCCAGATAAAAAATGATAAGTCCCTAAGTACAAATGTCAATCTAAAATCATATTTGGCAGCAGAAATATCAAATTAGTCCTAAATACAGATACTATATTCATAATCCTTTGAATTATTCGAATTTATTTTTGCTATAAACGCGTATATGCAGTGGCGGCCAGCTGTTTAAACATGACGCGTTTTCATTGAAATTTTAGCTTTGAACTTTGACCCAAATTTAAGAAAATCGTGACCACTGTAGACAAATACGACATCAATATTTCGATGAAGCTCGTTCTCCTCTTTCAAATGATATAAAATACAGCCGTGTGTTATTCCGTTAACCCAAATCAATCATATTCGTTGACTGGGCACCCTACTATAATGGAAGTGGTTCCTGACATGAAAGAAGTACGTTAACTTATATTCTGTTGTGTCCCACAACAAACTGTGGGTTATCTAAGGCGCTGTTGAAGGGTATTTGTTATTGCTGAAGACTTCATATCTTGTTCCAAACACTACATTGAAAGACTGAGTAACACGAACCCCACTAAAAACTGAGGGTCAGGAGGCCCTGGAAGGGTAAACAGTTCCGGCTCCACTGGTGTCATCTGTCTTAACACAATATGCAGTCTTCGAAAATAAACAACTATCTATTGCACATGTAAAGCTGTTAATCGCCACAATCTTCCAAATTGTAAATTGAAACAGTGACCAACTTTAAAGATGTCCAATGAGCGCGAAACTATTTTCAAAAAATGAAATCACATAGATACAAACCGTAGAAGGACGAGGCCGCTGACTTCAGACAAGCACATTATTATGTAAGAGGTTAATTTGAGTACAGTCACCATGATATCAGTATGTGTAAATGGACATTGAACCCCGGACTATATTCTGCATGTGCCTGTCCCATATCAGGAGTCTGCAATACAGTCGTTGCCGTTTGTTGCTGATTATCAAATTTGTTTTTCGTTTGTTGATTTGTATACAGGGCATTGTTTCTTTTTCGTTTGAATTGCTCTACATTTCTGATGTCGGAAATATAGTACAGCCTATCCAGATCCCCCTAAGTTCAAATCTGAATGTCTCCATTTTTAAATTAGTAGACTATTGAATTCTATTGTGAACCAGGGACAGTCTATACTAACAGTATAGTATAGAAAGTCCCTGAGTGAACTATAGATTTTTTAAATAAGTGTAATTCAGAATTCGAATTTCTACTAGTAGATAATGACAATACATTAGTCCTATGTTTAATATATGAATTATATGATGATATAAAAAGAATTCAGTATCCCTTTTTATCAAATTCCTGCAAGATGCCAATTAGTGATCAACAGGTATATTTTGCAAACATTTTCCCACCTATTATCTGGAAATTGACAAACTGCATGATTTTTTTTTAGTTGCGCACTAATTAGCAGAAAATTTCCATGGGATACATGTAAAAAGAAACAGTTCAGGAGAAGTGAAAATATTTCATTACAGCGAGGCTGCATGCGACCTTGGTACGAAATGAATAAAGTACGAAACCACCACATACCCGGAAGCTTTGTATTCTGGTTCCGTGTTTTATTCTTAGGTACCAGGTGTTCTCTATTGCAATTGGTGACGTGTGTTTTGTATCTGCATTTATTGCATTTTAATTTACTGTTAACCATGGCTATGGAATTTGAGTATGACGAGGAAGGAGGGACGTTCTTTTACTTTCTATTGTCATTCTGGGGCCTTGTCATCATTCCAGCAACATACTATTTTTGGCCAAGAACTAAAACAGATGGTAAGTTGTTGACATTGTGTACATGGTTGTATATGTACCTAATTCACCACACACGTCTTATTTAAAGATAACCATTATTAGTGTATGATAAATTGCTTTTTACAATCATATGTTATAATATCATACAAATTGATGAAAAATACTGTGATTAGGGACTTTCCGATTGAATTTTCCTCGGAGTTCAGTATTTTTGTGATTTTACTTTATACTACTATCAACTTTCGGTTAACCACCTCAGTGGTACTGGTAACATGCTTCTATGGAATGCAGAATGTCTTTGGGTCAACCGCCGAACAGGTCAAAACGAAGACTTGTTCATTGGTATTTGCTGATTCTTTATCACATCACATCATTTAGAAATCAGATATTTGTCAGCTGGAAATCAGAATTATGTGTCTGGGTAGAGCGACATGTCTTCTTGCAGAATGTTACAGTGTGAACAAGCTTAATCATGATAATAAAAATCTAACTCAGGGTGTCTATCTAGTACATAGCAGAGTTTATATTCAAAATATGTTTCCTGCGCCTATACTTGAGTCATTTTTTTTAACCCTTATGAAAGAGAAGTTCATGAAGGTGTTGCAAATCTGTGTATAACAGAAAAAATGTTGGTGTTCCCAACATTGGCTCATCAATCTTCTGATAGTCTTTGTTTTGTGCTTTAAATCTTCAATATGTTCAATTAAAATTCTCTCAATCTTCAAAGTGTCCTAGTCCCATCTCCATTATCTTGGCACTACAATTCAAACTTTCAATCCTTTATTTTATAAATAGCAACATGCAGTAATAGATGACAGAAGATTATAAAACACATTAATATATAAACATATTGGTTATGTTGGTGGCCTTGGGCTGTTTTCTGCTCTTTGGTCGGTTTGATGTCTCTTTGACACATTCCCTGTTTCCTTTCTCAATTTTATATGCAATATCATTTGGACTTACAAAATTTAATAGATATTTTTTTTCTCTAAAAATAGACAGACTAAGGGAAAATCCTTAGACGTGTTGGTTCTGCCCATCAAAATTAATCAGTTCCGTCTCTTAAATTTCACCCCTCTGGCCAGTATGATTATTTTGTACTGAAAGAGAGGGTCATTGTGATACACTGCTGTGGCATAGGTGGTTGGTCAAATCATAGGAAGCTAGTTTCCCATTTGACTTGGTACATTGTATTTTTTTATAAAATTCCTAAAATTGCTAAGAGTCTTTGGATAGACCATAATTTGAGCTTTGAATAAACCTTATTATGGCAATTTCTTAAAGATAAATTTCACCAACACATCAGCTGCTGTAACCACTAACTTGTATTTAACATAAGCAAAGTTCTATCTTAACAGAATAATTCAAAAATTCATTTTTGTCATTGAAAATTGCAAATGGTAAACAGCGATGTATATTTACAGAACCAGACTCGGTAAAACCAAGATGTTTTTCATATGGTCTACTCATTGCTGAGAATCAGACCATCTTTTAATTTTCATATGGTCTACTCATTGCTGAGAATCGGACCATCTTTTAATTTTCATATGGTTTACTCATTGCTGAGAATCGGTTCATCTCTTAATTTTTTTTCTAAAAAAAAGTTTGGATAAAATAAACAAAACACATCTCATTTCAATAAATATTTCTAATTATGCTTTTCATATTTTTTTTTACATTATTAACTTTCACATGTTAGTTTTTGGACCTTATCCTTGAAATATGTCATCGAAAGTGCAATATTTTGGTTAAAGAATGTTATTTTGTTAATGTTGTCCTTTTGTTGAAAAAGGTTGAATTTTAGAATTGAGAATTGTTTGACTGGACTGCAATTTTCGTTGTATCAATAAAGGCTTTAACTATAACTTACTTGAATGGCAGAGATTTTAAACAGGTTAAATTTTGTTGATGGAGATTTGACAGATTTCTTTGGAATACATTGTACATATGGTATTTGGTGGAATAAAGATGAGTTTTTTTTTAGAACTGAGTCTTTTATATTGTGTAATTGAAATAAAACAACAGTAAAATGACTGGATGTTTGTAATTGGTTTATTTGAAAGCTGCAGATGTGCTTATATGTTCTGCTTATACATGTATTCTTTGATTGTGTTGCATGTATATCATATTCATTCTATGTCTGTATGTGTATGTATATCTGTTTTATGTTATGTGTCTTGTTTTATATATTCGGTGGAAAGCTCTCAAGACCTTATGTTTGTATGTTTTAAACCATGGATGATGCCGAATTAAAATAAAGTTTTCTTATCTTATCTTCTTATGAATACTTTGAATGAGTCTTTAGATAGAAGTGACTCTTCAATGATATTTCAACTGATTGGTTGATTGTTTGTGTTTAACGCCACTTTCAAGATACAAATATGAATACCTTAAAATTGATACCTGACCATTCACCACTTTTCCTGGGGAAAACTTAGCTTTTTATTGTTGTTTTTGAGGAGGATTTTGAAAATTTTGTGCCTTACAAGTTTGAAATATAATTTGGATTTGACATTGACCCATTGTTTAAATGCAGATTGATTTGATGTGTATTTATGCTTTAAAAGGGCTTTTATTATACATGTTATAAGCTTATCATAAGAAAATAGATTTTTTTCTTTTTCAAGATTTAAATTCTTTAAATTTTTAAATAACAGATCTTTCTAGTTCATTTTGAAGTAAAATTTGGAATTATATATGATTTATACACCAGAAAATAAATAAAAATATTTAAAATTCATAGACATGATAGAATAAATTGATTTTTGGGGGTATTTTGAAACTATTGCATTATAAATTAGAATGTATGAATCATGTACATGTACTACTAATGAATTATATATTTGTATATTACAGAAGATTTAAAGATGCATATCAAATAAAATTCACAATTAATTTCACTTTTAATTTGGTAACAAACAATGTTGATCATTGTTTAAAAATAATTGGATTAAGAAAATAATAAAAAAAGAAGTTAAACTTATTATAATAAACAATATGAAAATATATATATTAAAAGTATGACAACATCCCGTTTTCAAAATTAAAGCAGTGTAAATTAAACACAAAATAACAAGGAAATGTAAATACATGTACAAAGATTGTCATATTAGGTGATAGTGATAAAGATTGTTACTAAAAATAGTGTATGTCAACAGGTAATGCCTAGAGGTCACACTTACAAAAATGTAGATAATATCTATTCCAGGAAGTAAAGTTAGAATTCTGGTGAATTGATTAAAATGTCCTGTATATCATGTTCATCATATACTTCATGATATACTTTTGTACTATGCACCTGCTATCAGATATTGATCAATATATAATTAAATGTGTATTACAATTACATATATCATCGTATATTTTATAATTTCCATATGGCATTTTTAGAATTATTTTTCATGATTTTTCATAACATTTCTACATTAAAATTCTATTTTTTTACCGGTATGTATTTGATCCTGTTTTTCATTTGTCTCAATGATATTAACCATGTTCATGCAGCTATATCATGTCACTTTTTTTCTTCTTTTATTTTTAAGTGAAAGTTCATGTACATGTGTCATGTTTTATACACGCACATCTTTAATTTATGATCACCACAATGATTTAATTAGCCTTTGAATTGGATCTGTTTCTATTTCATGGATATTCCAGGAGACTCTTTAATAAAAAATTATTTGCTTGCATCTAGTGAAAAATTGCAGATACCAGCATAATAATTTTTTCTTTAAATATTCATGATATTGAAACGTTAAAATTCAACCGTGCTCCTGTGATCTATAGACTTAAAGCAGAGGAATTTTCTTTTAAATAAATTTATCACTCCTGATATTTTGCCTGTGGCAACCATTTGAAATGGTATTTTGAGCCAATACAGCTTTATGGATGTCCAGATGCTGAATTTCAAAGTAATAATGTTGGTTTAATTGATTTATAAAGAAATGAAGAAAACCAGAGAGTTGTGGAAATATAATATTGATGTCCTTACTTTTTGAAAAATCTTATGAAATATATGTGTGGAGAAATAAATGTTAAATTGAATGAAAAATGTGGTAAACGGTTATTTGAGATGTATTGTTTTGTAAAAAAATTAAATCAAATTTTGAGGATGTATGACTTTATACATGTAATAGTAAGCTTTGGGATATAAACATGATAAATCTATCACTTTAAACATCAAACCACTTGGATAGCTTACACCATGATTGTAACGTAACTAACAGAACCACAAATACTGTGTATCTCGTAACGTGTATGTTTGTGAATCAGAACAGCCATTTCATAAACATTTGAATGGGGGCCATCTTATTAATTATGACTTCAAACCAGTGTGCCTGTCCTGAGACCTCAATTGATATCTCCTAATCACATTCAGACAAGTTTCAACCAGCTGACCATAACATGTTTGAAAGAATCAGGGGAAAGATTTGTTATCAGGAAAATAAAACGATAGGCTTGATTTGAATGGGGATAGTTTGAAAAGGTAATTCAAAGCAAAAAACTTAGTACAGGTCTTGCAAGCTACAATGGCTGTTAATAATTACTTGTTTCTATGTTCCACTGATTGTGTAAAATGATTGTTCCTTTAGGCAATGCAGTTAAGACTTCACCCAAGCATTTTATTGGTTGTGATACTATTAAATTCGAGTTTTAAGATTTTAAAGACTCCAACTTGAAATCCTTCTTGTTTATATTCTATATATGTTATGACATTGATGATTATTGACGTTTGCTTTGATCACATTGATTTGTGTCACACAATTGATACTGAAGAAGGATGTATGTTATCCAAAATATTTATTGATCATTTTATTTCATATACTTTAGTGTTGTAGTACAACTTTAAGACTAAAAGTATATTGATTTAGTTTAACTTTTAATTTAAAAAAAAATGTTTTATTGATTTTGAAGCTTATCTTGATAATGTAAGGTATTACATGTATTATGACAAATGATAAATAAAAGTAAAAATTTATATGGTCTGATCATTTCATATTAATGTCACAAAACTGTCATACAGGATTTTTTAAGAGAAGAATAGAAGTCCACAAATGTCTTTTATCCATGTATATTCCCAGTATCATCAATGGTTCATGTATGATTTCCTTTGCACAGGATGCATTCCAGAACAATGTACAAACCACAATATAGAATGAATAATTGAGAGGACTCATAATAATTTTTTTTTCTTTCAGTTTATTTTTGCTCCAGAAAATGTTTTCTGCTCTTTGGTCGAGTTGTTGTATCTTTGAGACATTCCCCGTTTCCATTCTCAATTTTACAAGATATAATTCTTCAAATAGGCCTTTTGATATGATATATTGATACATGTATATTATTTTTTTCTGTTTTTTTTTTTTAAGCTGGTCCAGACTTAAAAAAGAGAGAATGTAACTGTGAACCTTGTCAATTAAAGAGACAAAGATTAAATGTACAAGGAAAATGGAAACATACTACAGAAAAAGGAGTGTAAGTTTTATATTCAAAACAAAAAGTTTGTCAGAATTTTTTTTGTCAATACAAGGAAAAAAAACATTTTACATTAAAATAATTTTGTGACCAAAAGTTTTCTAAATGTTTATTGTTATCATCGGCACTTTTTTTGTTGACATTAAATTCCCAGTTCCTCAGCGGCTAAATGATCACTATCCTGTCAACATTGGAGTTTTCCAACCAAGATCGTGGCAAGGTGCTGTTGACTCCAATCTTAATTGATTTGGATTGCCTTGTTTCCCTGACATAAGTCTTGTTTCTCGTTCCTCCACCAATAAAACTGACCGTCATGATATAGCCAAGTGTGCTGAAAATGGCATTAAAAACCAATCAATCAATCTATTTAACTTCACCTGGAATGATGTCACATATCATGTATACTATTAATATTAATATAAGAAAGCTTTGATAGTTTATCATATTCGTGGAAATCATCAATTTAAATTGTCAATTTTGCAGAGAAGTTGTTTTTCATTTACAGGAAAATTGCCTTGGTGATAGGATGGATAATATTTCTGTTATTGGCATACAAAGTATCAAAGATACAGATGGAATATGTAGAATATGATCCTTATATGGAACTAGATGTAGATAGGGTAAGTTTTATTGTCATACTAACAGTAAATTCTGATCTTTTCCTTATATATATTTTCTAGAGTTTTATATTGTAGTATTTAAGGAATTAATGTACATTTTCAATAAAAAAGACGAAGATTACTGAGGAGAAAATTGAAAATTACAACAAAAAAGGAGAAAAATATAACTAATTGTTCTACATTGTAACTGAAAATATGACTGAGTTTAGATTTTGAAAGAAGTTAAAAGATGTGATCTCAAATTTAGAATCACTGGAAAAATGCATTTGTTAAGAAATGAACAGTATACAAAACTTGTTATGTCATTAAAGAGACAATTAGGGAAATTGTATCAGTCCATTACAAGAACACTTAAATGAAAGGTTTCAAACAGGAATGTGACAAGATACTGCCCTAACTTTGCAAAGTTTGCAAAGTTTGAAGCATTTATAAAAATAAAAATCAATAAATAGCAGCTTTTCTTATTTCTTATTGACTCGCATAGATTTTCTGAATATTGAAGAAAACCCTGAATTTCTCCCAAATGGTTTCCCAAGTAAATTATGGAGTACCACAAATACATGAAAGAAGATTAGAATTGTTTGATGTTACAAATAAAATACATATATATGTTTTTTTCTTATTCACACATGTCATAGAACTTAAAAAATAAATTGGTATAAAGATCGCCACACAAATTTACATGTTACATATTTTTTTCCATTGTAGGGTGCAAGTCAGAAAGAAATAAAGAAAGCCTACAGAAAGCTGAGTTTAATTTTCCATCCAGATAAAGAAACAGGAGACCATAAGAAGTTTATGAGAATAGCCAAAGCCTATGCTGCGTAGGTTCATTGTGTATTATTAAAAACTCAAAATATTGAAAAAAAATGATAGTTTAAGATAATCCAATTGTATGTGTACTTTGTATTTAGTGTCAAGCCTAACCATTTTCGTTTAAACCTAAACTACCAGAAAAGATATGCAGGTATTCAGAATCATAAAAGAGAAAAGGTACACAAATTGCGAGCTCCAAATTACTGAGATTATTGCTTGGTAATTATCTCCCTTTAAATCAAGTTATAAGAACAGACATGTTAAGTGTAATAAAAATGTACTAGTATTAATTTCCTAGTCACTGATTTTAGAGTTTTCCAGTAAAAAAGGTAGACAACTCTTAACTTACAAAATGACAAATTTTCCATTTCCAATGTAATTAGTGTTTGTTAAAATGAAAATAAATTCCAATCACTTTGGAATTCTTTGTTAGTCTCTACACGAATAGTGTTTTACTTTTTCCTGTTTTTTTACAGACTGACAGATGAGGAAACAATGAAGAATTGGGAAGAATATGGAAACCCTGATGGACCAGGGGGTTAGTATATACATATAAGTACTAATAAATCAATGTTAAGTCCTATTATGTTGTAATATAGGAAATCAAGAACTTTATTACATATGAATTGCTAAGTGAAACTTGTCATAGATATTAAAATATATACAGCAACGAGACATGTTTAAAAAAATATAAGGTTTTAGATAACATATGTTGAAGAAAATGTGACTTAAGCAAGAGTGATACAGATATCTAAAAATAGAACATATAAAACATCTACAGGTTAACATATAACCTTCAATAAGGAGAAGGCATTTACATTGTAATGTTTTTTGAAAAGAAACAATATATAACACGCGTCTCATAAATAAATTTATATAACTAATGCGTTATTAGTGATGAATTTTTTTGAAGGTCATTCACATGATTAGATTTGATAGATTTCCTTTAAGAATTAAAAAGATTTATTTGAGGGTTGACCTTCATAACTATAGCTAATGATTATAATTTTCTCTCACTATTATAGTTACTAAGTTTGGTATTGCTTTACCCAAATGGATTATAGAAAAGGAGAATTCAATATGGGTAAGTTAGATGACCAAATCTGTATCAGAGTTCTTGAAGGTACTGTAAATTCAGAAATTATTGTGAGGTTTTTGCAAATAATGCGACTGGGTGACTATCGTAATAATAAGAACGCACATTCTGATATCTGATAAAAATAACTTGATGCAGATTTTCATGATATCGCAATAAGTAATCTAACATTTTTTTCCATTCTTGAAAAATCGCAATAATAAATGCAAGCAATAATTTCTGAATTTACAGTATCTTGATTTAAGAGTAGTTCTTAATATAAATATGTAAAATTTGCAGATCCAAAGGAAACAATGATACATTTACTAAAGAGAACAAAGAAATCTTTAGAAACTTAATATTCCTAATTTTTTTTGCAGTGACATATTTCATTCTGATTCAACAATTTGGATTAGTTAAGGAAGTTTCGAAATTTAATTCTTTAAACACACTTTTACCAAGATATTCAGTAAAACTAGTTATGTCACTTGTCAGCCAATAATTTTCTTTTTGAAATTCCAAAGTTCAATAGTTTAAGATATTTATAACCCCGCTTTTAAAAAGGGGGGTATACTGTTTTTTATACCCCTGCTTTAAAAAAGGGGGGTATACTGTTTTACCTCTGTCTGTCCTTCCGTCAGTCCATCCGTCAGTCAGTCCGTCCGTCCCATGAATATTTTCGTCGCATTTTTCTCAGGAACTACTTGACAAGGATTTCTGAAATTTGGTTTCAGGGTTTATATAAGTAAGTTACACCGTGTGATGCGTTTTCAGTTTCATCACTCAACAACTTCCTGTTTACCGAACACTTGTATTATTTTACACATTATAGCCAAGTTGAAAATTTTCGTCACATTTTTCTCAGGAACTATTTGACAAGGATTTCTGAAAATTGGTTTCAGGGTTTATATAAGTAAGTTACACCGTGTGATGCGTTTTCAGTTTCATCACTCAACAACTTCCTGTTTACGGAACACTCGTATTATTTTACACATGATAGCCAAGTTGAAAATTTTTGTCACATTTTTCTCAGGAACTACCTGACAAGGATTTCTGAAATTTGGTTTCAGGGTTTATATAAGTAAGTTACACCGTGTGATGCGTTTTCAGTTTCATCACTCAACAACTTCCTGTTTACCGAACACTTGTATTATTTTACATATGATATCCAAGTTGAAAATTTTCGTCACATTTTTCTCAGGAACTACTTGACAAGGATTTCTGAAAATTGGTTTCAGGGTTTATATAAGTAAGTTACACCGTGTGATGTGTTTTCAGTTTCATCAATCAACAACTTCCTGTTTACCGAACACTTGTATTATTTTACACATGATAGCCAAGTTGAAAAGTTTTGTCACATTTTTCTCAGGAACTACTTGACAAGGATTTCTGAAATTTGGTTTCAGGGTTTATATAAGTAAGTTACACAGTTTGATGCGTTTTCAGATTCATCACTCAACAACTTCCTGTTTACTGAAATATTACGGCGGGGGTATCATTAGTGAGCAGTAGCTCACAGTTTTTTACTTGTTTCTTAATGCAGGTTATTGTTTGCTATTTATATCTTTTGACAATAATATATTTTCCAGGTGCTGGCAGTGTATGGATTACTGTTTATGGTTCTTTTGCCAGTTGTTGTGGTAAGATTACTAAACATTCAATTTCATTTATTTTTCTTGTTATTTTCTATGTAAACTACTAAAAATGTCTGTTCCTTCATTACACTTTTCTTGAAAATAAAAAAAAAAAACAATAATATAAAGAAACCAAAGATTATTTTTACAATATTTCCAGGCTTTATTAGCATTTCAACAATACAGGAATGTTATGAATAATTAAACCTTTTTAATTCAACTTCCTTTTGAGGAAAGTTTAAATGGCTTAACAGCTGTTTCTACAATGAATTTTAAGGGAGATCAGTAATGCATTTAACTGTGTAAATACTGATATACTGTAAATTTATATAATCTATCTTTTCCAGCTTTTCATAGCTTAAGAAGAAGTGTTTTATGTGTAAAATTAAAATTGTGGCTTTGTTAGTTGCTCATATTATATGAAAAATGAAGAAATATTGTGTTTGATTGATTCTTTTAATAGGTTTATCAGTACCCCAAAACTCTAAATTAGAATGGCATTCTTGACATTAAGATAACTCTATTTACAGGGAGCTTGGTGGTACAGATCTATAAAGTTTAGTAAAGATCAGGTTCTGCTCGACACAACACGATTATATTACTATTTCTTCCAGAAAATTCCTAACATGATGTTAAAAAGTAAGTATCAGTTAATACTACAGGTTTAAGCTTCATACAATGGGATTTAAACATGAAGATTCCAAACTTTTTTGAGTTATTGCCCTTTGACCAGTTTAACAGCATAATAAATCAAACTTTTGCTTTAAAAATGTGGTATTTTGTGAATCAGAAGGTTTATCTTTTGCATTGTATTACACATTTATACTACTATAACCTAATGTGGTGTTCTTAAGTAATTTACTAAGGAGTTGGGAATTATGGATTTATATGTTACAGCTTAATCATGAAGTCAATGTAATAAAATAAAATGAAATACAGAGAATTATAGCCTAATTTTGACAGAAAAGCTAATGAAAATATTATTGGATGGAAACAGCAAAGTTTCTTCTATTATTTACATGTTATACATGACATATCATTGAAAAATTTAAAAAAAAATGTTTTATTTATAGAATTCATATATTTCATTAAATGTTTTGCAGAAGTTGTAATGGTTTTAGCAGGATCATTTGAGTTTGACAAATTTCACAACCAAGAGATAGTTGAGAGGCCTAGTGACAATGAAGAAGTTCCACAGGTGAGATATACAAATAATAATCATATTCTTTAGTGTACTGTAATTTCAGAATTTTTTTTTTCTCAATGCAAAAGAATCATCACAACAAATAAAACTCGAAATTAAATTTGTTAAAATAAGTTTTTAATATAAAATGTTTAGGAATTTCAATTACTAGGGTATTTAGTTCCAAATAATAAACGTGATAAACAAATTCTGAATGTACAGAATATGATAAGTTCAGCTCTTCAGATTATCATGGTTATGATATTATTATACCCCTATTCAACGACTGGGCTAGAATGGGTCTATATTGCATCCACCTTGTCCATATATCTGTTGTATAGAAAATATTTCCATCACACTTTTCTCAGAAACTAATGAACAGAATGACTTCATATTTGGGCAGAAGCTCATCAGTCATGAGTTGTAATGTGGGAGGACCTTTTGGATCTGTCAAACAACTACTACCTGTATGACGATACTTTATATTTTTATATATGTTGAATGATAAGCAGCTGGACAGCCATGATTTGGTAATACCTGTGCTTTTAGGATCTGTCGGACACCTACTTCCTGTTTTAAAATTACTTTGAATTATGAGTTGGCAACACACACATGCAACCTCTTATCACTTTTCTCTAATGGTTTTCAATTCTTGTGGGTTTCATGGTTTTTGATACCCAACAAAACACATATTTCTATGGATTTTTTAAATGGAACATTATAAGTCATACATTTGGAAGATAATTCACACTTGATAAATCTATGATGTATACAATATTTTTACAGCTGATAAAAATGTTACCAAATTTGGAAGAGAAACACAAAGAGAAGCCCTTATGTTACCCATACAGTGTAAAGGCCAGAGCTTTACTTCATGCACACTTTAACAGATTAGAGTTATCACAGAATACACTAGAAATAGGTATGTTTCTTGTATGTTTGTGTTGATTGATTGCTGTTTGACTGTAGTCTGGTGTTCAAAATGTCATGCATATTCAGAATGAGAACAAATAAACAGTATATATTAACATAAACGGTACCAATTTTACTACACCAGATGCACATTTCAACAATAAATGTCTTCAGTGATGCTCGAGGCCAAAATATTAGAAAATTGAAAACTTATTTAAATTAGTTTCTATAATGTGGGTCAAACAAGATGAAGGGCAGGAAATTTTTACTGTCTTCTGGAAAATGATTGATATGTTGGATAGTTTCAGAAAGTATACATTGCAACAGCTGTTTAACAGATCAATCATTGTGTTGTTCTAAGGATTCTTTACATGCAGAGACTTTGATGTTCTCTCATACCAAGGTATCAGACCAATTGATTGTAGCCCTCTATTTACACTTCCTGAGCAGTTAAATAGCTTTATCGCTAATATATGAAATTTTCCTTTGATCTTGCTGACTGATAATTTCCTTTCTCAGCGGAGTTGAGTAATATGAAAAATTATCGCTAGAAACTAAAGGGCACGTGGCGTTGCTAATGAAATTGACATGAAATTGACAACGTCGTCATAGGTAAAATAGCGATAAACAGATTATCATTGGTCATCTCAACTCGATTGCTTTTCTCACTTTCGGCGTACCGGCTCAAGCGAGAAAATCAATCTCGTTGAGATGACCAACGATAATCTATAAATATCATCTAATTAGAATGCTCTCATACAAATCAACATTTATATTTAGATAAACAGTATGTAGAATACTGGTATATAAATCAACATTTATATTTAGATAAGATGTACGTCCTGAAGAAGACTCCATACTTGGTCAATGAGATGGTGACTATTGTAGCACAGTTAGTATCAGGAGCTGCTAGAAATGGTATGTAATTAGGAGAAACATGCTTAAAACAATACAATATGAAACATTCAGTGACCTTTGTGTTCACATATCTGCAGTCTTAGTCTTAAACATTATAGAAGTTTTATATTGGTTAAAAAACTGTTTAAGCATTGAATACAAGGATTTTTTTTTACTGATGTCTAAAATCATTTTACAATTTCTTTTTAGTAAATGTGGATATTTTTTTTAAAAAGGGAAATAAAGAAAAAAACTTTTGTATTACACAACTGTATTGTATTGCATTTGAATAAGATAAAAATGAAATTTACAACATTATGTTTGATTTGTATATTCATTGTGATTGTTAACATTTGAGCAAAATGCTATAAAATGCAATGAATTTCAAAATGTCTTTGATGTTGCTCAAACTGCTTACTTCAACGATGAACTGTTGATAAACCCTACTTGAATTTAATTATCGATAAAATTAGATTTAGTTTATCTTTCTCAAAATTATCTATAAGTCAGTATTTGTTTCATTTGTATTTAACAAAATATATTTGTTACACTGTAGCACTCTCAAAAGAAAAAGTATTTCGTAAGAATGTATACCGATTCTAACATTTGATTCTGGCTTGATCATATCATATATATATAGCAATAGATTTGCAGGTGTCATAGCGTGTGAAGCTTACTATTGTGTTTTAAATTGAATTTCATCATGTTATTATCTCATAGATTTTGAGGTTAACATTGTACACTGTAGCATTAATTAATATAGGACTCTGGGTAAATTAGTTTTTTTATCTAGGTTATAGCACAGTTTCATTTTACATCTTTGAATAACCATCATAAATTCACATATGTTATACATATTCCTAATAAATTCATTGTTTGCAGTGTACTAAAACAATTTCATTGTATAGACACAAAATTTTAGAAAATTTGGTATTATTTATTCTTGTCTTGGTGATATTTGGATTAAACTAAACCACAAATCTGAAGAACAGAACCATTAGATGGAAATTTGATTCAATTTTGAAATAATGATTGAATGTAGCTATCCTAAAAGTTAACAACACTAGGGTAACAAAAATAAACTAGAAGTTCCTTTAGATGTTTTTGAGAGACACAGTAATTGAGGGGTAATCAGTTCACATGTAGCAATACTAACAATGGAACTTAAACATACATGTTGACATGAAATGAAACATTGTTCTGACAAATGAAATTGTCAACAACAAAAAAAAAGATGCTTAAATTTGTTTTTGCTGTATACTTTTCCCTTCAAGCTTATATACAAGAAATGTTTCATTAAAACTCTAGTTGTTACATTCTGACCTATCATATCTATATATTTATGTAAATAGAACTTGACATAAAACAGTTGATTTAATCTTATTGTTGCTGAAATTTTTTTTAACGATACAAAATATTTCAAATATCCATGAAAATCAATATCTTCCTTAAAAAAGGAACTTAGGACTTATATTTGGTGGAAATATAAATAAACTCTGTCTTTGAATTAAGGTATTGGAAAAATTACCAATGTATGATAAATACCTTCAAGTTCATTTGACTGTTTGAAGGTAACACATCAAAATTTATTTATCTGTTACATACTCTACAGCAGAAAGGATAGAAACAACAGGCAATAAATAACATCATTGAATATATTAGACAATGTTAAAAAAAAATAAAAAATAGATTTTTTATTGATTATTGTTTTGAAAGTCACTAATTCATACTTAGATATTTTATCCTAGACACCAGAAAAACATAATGATCTGTTGTTTTGGAAGTAAAAGTATTTGTGGGGTATACATCAATAAGACAGCAACCCAAAAACACAAAATTTAAAAGTGCTCTGTTTTATTTAAATTTTTAATATATGACTATATTTAACCCTGTTTGACATTACTGTTCAGATGTTATTGGGAGGCTGAGTAAAATATAAATATATATCTGTAGATCTCTATCACAAAAAATCTCAATAGTAAGTTTTAATTTAATTATTTTCTACTTTTAGCTGTACAATATATGCCCCGACTGGAGACTGTTGAGAATTGTATGAAAGTATCACAGATGATTATACAGGGTCTAGACCAGAAATCTAGTCCACTGTTACAGCTACCCCACATTAAACCAGAAATGTTAAAACATTTCAGTACCAAAAAGGTAAATAGTCCAGGTTTATAAAGGAGATGTGGTATGATTGCAAATGAGATAGCTATCCACCAGATTTAAAATGACTTGAATGAAAGCAACTGTAGGAGACCTTATGTCCTTCAACAATGAGCAAAATCTATACCTTATAGTCATAGTTCTAATTCATGATTGTATACTCAATAGTATTAAGATAGAAATGTAAAAATATAGAAACAAATAGGTAACTTGTAACAATAACTACAGCAACTGTGCTAATTTTGTCATGCTAGAAAAAAAAAACAGGTGCTGTAACTTTTGTTTGACTGCATTTTATTGTATAGAAATAGTAAAGAGTTTACAAGTTTAGAAAAACAAAATTGAAAATAAAAACAATGCTATAATAGTTATATTTGAAATTTTCACCAAATGAGTAACACACAGGTTTTGGTATAAATATACTTTTATTTTTTAATTTGTATGTGTTCAATTTATGATTACTTTTTATCTAATATTGAGACAAGAGCTCAGCTGTTATAAAGTAACAAAGGAATGTCTTAGTCACCCAACGGACCATTGACAACTTTTCTATATATAGGGCTGTCTATATATTGGTGGTCCTCAGTATATAATGTGCCCTACAGAAGTAAAATCAATTGTATTTTAGTTATTGGTGTTGCATTATCCTGGCTAGCCCAAAATAGAAGGGTCCAGCTCCCATCTGCCCTTTCTGTACACTCAAATGCCTTTTAAGTCGTGCCAGATGTATTTTTGATTTTGAGAAGAAAAATAAATACTTTTTAATGCAAAATTATCATTTTAACTACATGTACTGTGAAAAGCTTTTTGCAACCCCCAAATATCGTACATCTAGCAAAATTAAACATTAATACACTGTACAAGATATAAAAATCCATATTCCAGAAGGTTTAAGATATATTATTTTTGTGTACAATTTACATAAAAGGTTAAAACATATGTTTTTTTTTTTACAGAGGCACATTCAGAGAATTAAAGATTTTATAGGAATGAAGGACAGTGAAAGGAAATCTTTGTGTAGACAGTTGTCACCTGATGAATATCGTGATGTGATGAGTGTCTGTGCTACAATGCCCTATGTCATCATGACAATAAGGTCTGAAGGTACGTTTAGGGCTTATGTACATTGGTATTTTAATTGAAGTAAAATGTGGAATGTTAAGTTTTATGCTATTATAGCAGATTATAATTATGTGCAACTAAGTGTCGGATAAATCTTCTGTACTTTCCTCATAGACATATGATTTTGAAAAGGGATCTTTGTTTAAAGTATTCTGTTGATTTGTTTACTCTGGTAGATACCAATTTTCATGAAATCTGCATACAAACCTATAGAAAATTTGTACTTAACTGAAAACTAAATCTGTAGTTATATACACCTACAAAATTCATGAGAAGTAGGTTTCCCATATTCATATCTAACTGTATTACCTTACTATAATACTAAATTTCTACAACAATAAAATCCTGTCAATCTTTACTCAATTACGAAATTTTTTCCCAAGCATTTGCTGTAACAAAATTGGAAAAGGGATGAAGGTACAGGGCATGCACGCACAGTATACGGTTGGGGTTGTCTATGGGGAGGTTTTTTCTTTGTATGTTGTCTCTTTCCCGTTCTTGTGAGTTGTGGGTTACTGTTATCTAATTTTATGATGGTGAGTATTTATTTTTCAAATCCAAATTTTAATACTAAAAATAAGTATCCATAGTCCAACAATTGAATCTGCCTTTTTGAAATTTATCACATATCTAATTAGGGCTTTATCCAGTTCCTGCTTAGTACACTTTGTCTGTCATATAAGAAGAGAGAGCCATCACTGGAAACATACTTGTCTTCAGATAACATTCAACTTAGTTGCTAATACTTTCAAGCTTCTCATTACATATTAAAATCTATAGACAAATATCCTAATAAAAAATTATAAAGTATTGCCAGAAAATAAAAAGATAAATTATTGTCAACATTTTTGCCATATGTTTGAATGACTCCTTAGTGCCAAGATTTTCTTTTTCCAGGTATTATATTTTTATTCTTACATCAGATTTGTTCAGTTTTCTCCCCATTTTTTAGCTCACCTGGCCCAAAGGGCCAAGTGAGCTTTTCTCATCACTTGGCGTCCGTCGTCCGTCGTCCGTCGTCCGTAAACTTTTACAAAAATCTTCTCCTCTGAAACTACTTGGCCAAATTTAACCAAACTTGGCCACAATCATCATTAGGGTATCTAGTTTAAAAAATGTGTCCGGTGACCCTGCCAACCAACCAAGATGGCCGCCATTGCTAAAAATAGAACATAGGGGTAAAATGTAGATTTTGGCTTATATCTCTGAAACCAAAGCATTGAGAGCAAATCTGACAGGGGTAAAAATGTTTATCAGGTCAAGATCTATCTGCCCTGAAATTTTCAGATGAATCGGACAACCCGTTGTTAGGTTGCTGCCCCTGAATTAGTAATTTTAAGGAAATTTTGCCGTATTTGGTTATTATCTTGAATATTATTATAGATAGAGATAAACTGTAAACAGCAATAATGTTCAGCAAAGTAAGTTCTACAAATAAGTCAACATGACCAAAATGGTCAGTTGACCCCTTAAGGAGTTATTGCCCTTTTATAGTCAATTTTTAACAATTTTTCGTAAATTTTTGTTATCTTTTACAAAAATCTTCTCTGAAACTACTAAGATGAATTTAACCAAAGTTGTAAACAATAATCATTAGGGTATGTAGTTTTAAAATTGTGTCTGATGACCCTGCCCGCGAACCAAGATGGCCGACATGGCTAATAATAGTACATAGGGTAAAATGCTGTTTTTGGCTCATATATCTAAACCCAAAGCATTTCGAGCAAATCTTTCAAAACAAAATTGTTCATTAGGTCAAGATCTATTTGCCCTTAAATTTTCAGACCATTCAGGCAACCCGTTGTTGGGTTGCTGCCCCTGAATTGGTAATTTTCAGAAATTTTTTCAGCTTTTGGTTATTATCTTGAACATTATTATAGATAGAGATAAACTGTAAACAGCAATAATGTACAGCAAAGTAAGACCTACAAATAAGTCAACATGACCAAAATGGTCAATTGACCCCTTAAGGAGTTATTGCCCTTTATAATCAATTTTTAACAATTTTCATAAATTTTGTAAATTTTTACAAAATAATTTTCACTGAAACTACTGGGCCAAGTTCATTATAGATAGAGATAATTATAAGCATCAAGAATGTTAAGTAAAGTAAGATCTACAAACACATCTCCATCACCAAAACACAATTTTGTCATGAATCCATCTGTGTCCTTTGTTTAATATGCACATAGACCAAGGTGAGCGACACAGGCTCTTTAGAGCCTCTAGTTTTCAAATAGCACCATGGGATTTATAATATTACTGCTTTCCTTAAATTATAGCACCACATTTATAACTCATCCTATAATAAAATATATTCAGATTGTGATTTTGATTTTTTTTTTTTCGTTCGTTGGGATCAAGATTGCATCAAGTGCAACCAAAACCCTATTGTCACTGCAATATTTAACTATATAACAGGACTCCTCTTTACATTACTCATCACAGTGCAGTGGTGTGGACATTCTTTAGATTCTATCCATACCCATGTTATTGACAATACTTGCTCAGATATTCAATTTACTAAATGATGTGTATGTGTATATCTATACTTAACAAAGAAAACTATTTTATTAAAAAAAAATTACTTAAAAATCTATCTGTCCTATCTTAAAAATTGTGTACAAAGGAAGGTAACTCCAATTCAATATATTGCCTTAATTTGTACCATTGCTTAATAGAATGCAGTTGACAGTGCAAAATAAAGCAATGTTTACTTTTTAGTGCTCACAAGCGCTTTGATTTTTTTAAAGTGTGATTTGAGTAACCATTTTTTTTTCAGTTTTGGATGATGAAGATTCCACGATTACAGCTGGTTCCATAGTAACAGTCACTGTCACACTTACTAGACAAGACTTAGAGGTTCTCTTTGAACAAGAACAAGAAGACAATGTTCAGGAAATTGAAAATGTAGAAGAAACAGAAGAAACTGAAGCTCATGTATGTGTAATTTTCAGAATTTATAGAGACTGGTTTTGTTCTTTTTAATCATACCACTGTTTTCAGGACAATTTCTTAGTTTAATTTTCTAAATCTTAAATCTTGCTTGGTGGTACCTCTTTTTCTGAATTCTTCACAAACACTGTCATGACTGTTATTATTATCAATAATGAAAGATAAAAGTATTTTAAAAACAAATATTGCCTGAAAGATAAATATTTTTATGCCCCCGCCATAGCAGAGGGGGCATTAGGTTTTACCCTTGACCGTCTGTACGTACGTCCGTCCATACGTCCCAAAGTTGGTTTCCGTTCTCTAACTTTAGTTCGCCTCAACCAAATGTTATGAAACTTATACACAATGCTTATTACTATAAAATACAGACCATGTTTGAAATTGGGTGGTGTCACTTTTACCTTTCTTGAGTTATGCTCCTTTCTAAACATAAAAATTGCTGAATTTTTCGTTTCTGTTCTCTAACTTAAGTTAGCCACAACCAAATGTTATGAGACTTATACACAATACTTATTACCACACAACTCAGATCAAGTACAAATTTGGGTAGCATCACTTTTACTTTTCTTCAGTTATGCAAGAGGGGGCATCATCTGTGTCCCATGGACACATTCCCCATTTATTTTATTTATTTATTGTTTATTGATTTAAAAAGTAAACAGTGGAAGTTCAGAATAGATTTTCTGTAATGTTTGTAATTTTCATCTTTGCACACTCAGAACGATGACAATACTCAAAAGAAAGTAGCACCTAAAGCTTGGGAAAAGCCAAAGAAAGGAAAGAAAAAGCCAGCCAAACCAAAAAAGAAAGCAAAACAAGCATTTAATTGGAAAGCAGCAGCATCTTCATCAGCTGCAGGAGCTACAAGTGACAAAACTGAAGAAAAATCAGAGGAAAAGGAAGGAAAAGGGGATACAGACGATGAGGGCAAGGTAAGAAATCATTTTATAAAACCCATAACAAAATATGATACAAGAAAATACATATTTGACAAGTTATTGAATTATAAGGAATTATATGATTGAATAATTGTGCCCTTTATGTTCTTTTTGCATGACAAAAAACAACTATTAGATGTAAAAAAAAATATGAAATTATAGAAAAGCCTAGGTTCCTTCACTTTGTAACATTCTGATAAACTTAAAACTGATCACTGAACATTTAAATGATATTTGTGTCTATTAACAGTTTTTTTGTATCTAACAATAAGTCTACATTTAAATCAACATAAAAAAATAACTTATCCTTACACTTTACAGGCAGTTGTAGCCACAAATCCTGATAATGATGAATCTGAAGTAGAATCTGAACACGAGGAACATGATTCTGAGGCAGAGAACTCTGCTAGTAGCTCAGCGCTGTCAAAAAGACGGTCGTCAGGGTCAGGATTTGATACGAAGAAAAACAAAGATAAAGATGATGAACATGCCTTAGACGATGAAGAACAATGGAAGATCTATCAGGAAGAAGCGAAAAAAGAATTCTCAATAGAAACTAAAGCAAAAGAAAGTCCATTTGTACATTGTCCATATTTCCCAGAGGTAAGGACACAAATTAAGGTGTAGGCAACATATATATGATAATAGTTAGTTCTTTAAGAATATAAAATCTTTCTTCAAGGAATTTTTCATTTCTTGAAGATTTTTTAATGGATATGATGCTTAACTTCCAGTAGAAGAAATAACCTGCTATGTACTTTACAGATGCATTGAGCCAGAATTTTAGTTTGCTAGCTCATAAGGTACAGTTACATGTACTGTCCAGAGGAAGAAATGTTATCATACTGGCACACATTATTCCCCAAAAAATTATCCCAATCATTTTTAAATTTCACAAAAACGGTTTAGATCCTCACCCCTTAATCATAAATACTGTAAATTCAGAAATTATTGCGTGCATTTAATATTGCAATATTTGAACAATGAACATAAGTTCTAGATCAATTATTGTAATTTCAGGAAAAGCTGCATACAGATATACGTATGAGATATCAGAATGCGAGTTCTTACTTTGTGAAACTCCCCCATTCACATTTTTCGCATTAATTAAAACCTCGCAATAATTTCTGAATTTACATTATTAGTATTCCTCTTGTCAAGGTTCTTTGACTGCAACATACTTTTGTTTTTGTTAGTTGGATTTATTCCAGATCCTTTCTTTAGAAAAACTGCAAATCTTTTTTACAAACTGCAGATCTTTGTCTACAAACTGCAGATCTTTGTCTACAAACTGCAGATCTTTGTCCACAAACTGAAGTCTTTGTCAGATTATAATCAGATATTTCTGTGTTTTTTCATGAAATTTAAGACTTTTTTAAATGTGAATATAGAAATATGTATACATTTATATCTTTGAATATATAATTTATAATATATGTTTTTTTATAGGCCAAACAAGAAGGATGGTGGTTATATGTTTCGGATAAGAAACAACATATGTTAATAACAGCTCCTGTACAGATATTAACACTGAAAGAAAAAGAAGAGGTGATTAGTCTTATTCAAAGAGTTAAAGATTACTTTCTATCCCATAATTCAATATCTCATTGATAAAAAAATTCACACATGAGATAGTAATAATAACAGGACTGGGATGCACAAACGTTCTTAGCATTTAATGATGTTCGAATATTTATTGGTGTATTTGCAAGTACATGTAATATAATTAACACTTAAAATTTAAACAACATTTTCACATTAATTGTCGTTTGTTTTACCTAGTCGAGTACTTCAACATTTATGAGAAAGTATTTTTTTATCAAAGTATGAATATATAAAGAAGATGTATAGTTTATTGCTCTGTTGATACAGGTAGTACAGAGTAGAGGGGTTTCCTGTCTTGTACTACTTTTTAACAACCTACATAACCCTTATTCCCAAAAGAAATTGCTTTGTGGTAAATTAGTTGAATATAGTCTGTTCAAAATATATAATACAGATCAAGCTTGAGTATTACATTTATAAAAAAAGTATGACCTTCAATCTATATCAGAAAATTTTAATTTGAAACTAGTTTAGAAAAGTCTACAGATATACATTCCTTTCTTAATAATGCCTCAACAACAGCTAACACATTTTGTTTGTGTTAATTTTCTTGATTTTTAAGAGAGAACAAAGCAAATTACATCATTTGGTCTCTGTTGGAGAGTTGTCTCATTGGCAATCATACCACATCTACTTATTCAAAAAAAAAACAAACATTTGAAATTGGAAGATATATCAACCAATGCATAAATCTTTCCCCTTGAGTGTCTCAAGATATGTTTTCTTGCCTTGTTTTAACTGTGATATGGCTTAGATTTCTATCCCACCCAAATTTTTGTCTGAGACAGCATACAGACACCTTTTTATACGACCGCAAAAATTGAAAATTTTTTGGTCGTATATTGGTATGATGTTGGCGTCGTCGTCGTCCGAAGACACATTGGTTTTCGCACTCTAACTTAGTTTAAGTGAATGGATCTCCATGAAATTTTACCATAAGGTTTAATACCACGAAAGGAAGGTTGGGATTGATTTTGGGGGTTATAGTACCAACAGTTAAGGAATTAGGGGCCAAAAAGGGGCCAAAAATAAGCATTTTTGTAACTTCCAGACAATAACTTGTGTGTAAGTGTATGGATCTCTCTGACATTGTACCACAAGGTTCCATATCACAAAGGGAAGGCTGTAATTGTTTTGGGGGTAATTGCCTCAAAATTTTAGGAATTAGGGGCCAAAAAAAGGGGCAAAAAACAAGCATTTTTCTAGTTTCATGACAATAACTTGTGTGTAAGTGTTTGGATATTTTCTGAAATTGTACTACAAGGTTCCATATTACAAAGGGAAAGCTGGAATTGAGTTTGGGGGTAATTGCCCGAAACGTTTAGGAATTGGGGGCCAAAAAGGGGCCAAAAATAAGCATTTTTCTAGTTTCCAGACAATAACTTGTGTTCAAGTGTATGGATCTCTCTGAAATTGTACTGCAAGGTACCATACCACAAAGGAAAGGCTGGGATTGAGTTCGGGGGTGATGAATCATAAGGGGGTTCAAAAAATTTGGGGGGGGGGGGGATTTTTTTTTTTTCTTTTTTTTTCTTTTTTTCCTTTTTTTTTCTTTTTTTTTCTTTTTTTCCTTTTTTTTTCTTTTAAAATTTTCCATTTTAAGTTGGTTATTTCTGATTATTTATATTTAAAAGCAAATAATAATGATATGGTAGGAGATACACACCAAACAGGATGTGTAAATTATTATATAATAAGTATTGTACAATAGCAAGAAATTTTCAATTGTACAGTATTGCACAATAGCAAGAAATCTTCAATTGCACAGTATTGTGCAATAGCAAGAAATCTTCAATTGCACAGTATTGTGCAATAGCAAGAAATATCCAATAGCACAATATTGCGCAATAGCAAGAAATTGTCAATTGTACAGTATTGCGCAATAGCAAGAAATATTCAATTAGACAGTATTGTGCAAAAGAAGATACTTCCTATAAATTGCTTATTTCTTGATCAATTTCAATGGGGTTTTATTCTTGAATTCTTGGGGTTCTTTAATATGCTGAATCTAACCGTGTATTAAGTTTTTGGATTTTGGGCCCCATTTTTAAATTGGTCCACATTGAGGTCCAAAGGACCAAAATTTAACTTTGTTTGATTTCATCAAAAATTGAATTATTGGGGTTCTTTGATATGCCGAATCTAACCGTGTATTTAGATTCTTAATTTTTGTTTCCGTTTTCAAATTGGTCTACATAAACGTCCAAAGGGTCCAAAATTAAACTTAGTTTGATTTTAACAAAAATTGAATTTTTAGGGTTCTTTGATATGCTGAATCTAAACATGTATTTAGATTTTTGATTATGGGCCCAGTTTTCAAGTTGGTCCAAGTCGGGGTCCAAAATTAAACTTTGTTTGATTTCAACAAAAATTGAATATATGGGGTTCTTTGATATGCTGAATCTAACCATGTATTTAGATTTTGGATATTGGACCATAATAGGTGAATGTCCAATTTAAAATTTTTAAGTTCTTAGACCACATTCATTCTGTGTCAGAAACCTATGCTGTGTCAAATATTTAATCACAATCCAAATTCAGAGCTGTATCAAGCTTGAATGTTGTGTCCATACTTGCCCCAACTGTACAGGGTTCGACCTCTGCGGTCGTATCAAGCTGCGCCCTGCGGAGCATTTTATTATGTAATATTTTGTTATTTTATTAAATTGAATACTTAGATAAAACCTAGTTAGAGTTTAAAAATGTTATTCATTGGTGTCCGACATTTCGATGTCTCACACTCTCGTAGATGCTTATTTTAATCTTCTTTCACCGTCACCTATTCATATAATTTCAATTTGTTGACCATGACTATTTCCTGCAATTTAAGCTTGATTTCTTGTGATTTAACTTATTCATTTAGACATTAGGCACTTCATTGATGTTTTCTATATTATTTAACATTTTCAGATTACACTGAAATTTTTAGCCCCCATGAAACCAGGTGCTTATACATATACAGTCAATCTGAAATCAGATTCCTTCTTTGACTTTGACCAGTCACAAAATATTAAGGTAAGTTTGATGTTTTTAATTAAAGTAGAATAGGTGCAAAAGCCAACATTATTCACATCAGTAAACAATAAACTCATCATATACAGTGTTCACAGATTGATATAATATATTTGCTTAAAATGATTACCACATTATTTTTACATCAGATTAACACCATATCATGTTCACACCAGCACACCATGCTACATTCACACCAGATTAACACCATACACAGATTGACAACATTCAGTGTATACAAATAGTGTTTAAACCCGATAACACTATACAGGGTTTACACTACATTAACTTAATGTAGGATTTAAACAAGATAACAGTTCACACTGATAATTTTCACACTGGATAAATATTTATAGTGTTTACACCAGAAAGACATCGTATAGGACTCAAACCAGATAAACACCATTCAGTGTTGAAACCAGTTTTACACCATACTTGGTTTACATTATGTTAATATTGTGCAGGGATTAGCTACAAGCGAGCTGCCACACATTATTTATACACCATTTATATCTCTAGACTGACTTACACAAGATAAATATTATACAATGTTTGCATCCGATTAACATCATATGCCATTTACACTGATAACCATATACTATAAATTCAGAAATAATTGCATGCATTTATCATTGCAATTTCTATATGACAGACCAAAATGTGAGGATAATTATTGTGATTACATACAAATAAATTTGTCAAATGTGAGAAAGCACTTTTTAGCTCACCTGGCCCACAGGGCCAAGTGAGCTTTTCTCATCACTTGGCGTCCGTCGTCCGTTAACTTTTACAAAAATCTTATCCTCTGAAACTACCGGGCCAAATTTGACCAAACTTGGCCACAATCATCATTGGGGTATCTAGTTTAAAAAATATGTCTGGTGACCCAGCCAACCAACCAAGATGGCCTCCATGGCTAAAAATAGAACATAGGGGTAAAATTTAGATTTTGGCTTATATCTCTGAAACCAAAGCATTTAGAGCAAATCTGACTGGGTAAAATTGTTCATTAGGTCAAGATCTATCTGCCCTGAAATTTTCAGATGAATCGGACAACCCGTTGTTGGTTTGCTGCCCCTGAATTGGTAATTTTAAGGAAATTTTGCCTTTTTGGTTATTATCTTGAATATTATTATAGATAGAGATAAACTGTAAACAGCAATAATGTTCAGCAAAGAAAGATCTACAAATAAGTCAACTTGACCAAAATGGTCAGTTGACCCCTTAAGGAGTTATTGCCCTTTATAGTCAATTTTTAACCATTTTTCGTAAATGTTTGTAATTTTTTACAAAAATCTTCTCCTCTAAAACTACTAAGACAAATTTTACCAAACTTGTCCACAATCATCATTAGGGTATTTAGTTTAAAAAATGTGTCCATTGACCCCGCCCGCGAACCAAGATGGCCGACATGGCTAAAAAATAGTACATAGGGTAAAATGCAGTTTTTGGCTTATATCTCTGAAACCAAAGCATTTAGAGCAAATCTGATGAGGATTAAATTGTTCATTAGGTCAAGATCTATCTGCCCATAAATTTTCAGACCAATCAGGCAACACGTTGTTGGGTTGCTGCCCCATGAATTGGTAATTTTAAGAAAATTTTGCCGTTTTAGGTCACCTGGCCCAAAGGGCCAAGTGAGCTTTTCTCATCACTTGGCGTCCGTCGCGTCTGTCGTCGTTAACTTTTACAAAAATCTTCTCCTCTGAAACTACTTGGCCAAATTAAACCAAACTTGGCCACAATCATCATTGGGGTATCTAGTTTAAAAAAAGTGTCCGGTGACCCGGCCAACCAACCAAGATGGCCGCCATGGTTAAAAATAGAACATAGGGGTAAAATGTAGATTTTGGCTTATATCTCTGAAACCAAAGCATTTAGAGCATATCTGACAGGGAGTAAAATTGTTTATCAGGTCAAGATCTATCTGCCCTGTAATTTTCAGATGAATCTGACAACCCGTTGTTGGGTTGCTGCCCCTGAATTGGTAATTTTAAGGAAATTTTGCCGTTTTTGGTTATTATCTTGAATATTATTATAGATAGAGATAAACTGTAAACAGCAATAATGTTCAGCAAAGTAAGATCTACAAATAAGTCAACTTGACCAAAATGGTCAGTTGACCCCTTAATGAGTTATTGCCCTTTATAGTCAATTTTAACCATTTTTCGTAAATTTTTGTAATCTTTTACAAAAATCTTCTCCTCTGAAACTACTAAGACAAATTTAACCAAACTTGTCCACAATCATCACTGGGGTATCTAGTTTAAAAAATGTGTCCGATGACCCTGCCCGCAAACCAAGATGGCCGACATGGCTAAAAAATAATACATAGGGTAAAATGCAGTTTTTGGCTCATATCTCTGAAACCAAAGCATTTAGAGAAAATCTGACACGATAAAATTGTTCATTAGGTCAAGATCTATCTGCCATGAAATTTTCAGACCAATCAGGCAACACCTTGTTGGGTTGCTGCCCCTGAATTGGTAATTTTAAGAAAATTTTGCAGCTTTTGGTTATTATCTTGAATGTTATTATAGATAGAGAAAAACTGTAACAGCAATAATGTACAGCAAAGTAAGATCTACAAATAAGTCAACATGACTTGACCCTTTAAGGAGTTATTGCCCTTTATAGTCAATTTTTTACAATTTTCATAAATTTTTAAAATTTTTGTAAATTTTTAAAAAATATTTTCCCCTGTAACTACTGGGCCAAGTTCATTATAGATAGAGATAATTGTAAGCAGCAAGAATGTTCAGTAAAGTAAGATCTACAAACACATCACCATCACCAAAACACAATTTTGTCATGAATCCATCTGTGTCCTTTGTTTAATATGCACATAGACCAAGGTGAGCGACACAGGCTCTTTAGAGCCTCTAGTTTATTATTGCAAGACTATTGCTGTACTTCCATAAAAACCTTGCAATAGTTTCTGAGTTTACAGTACAGGATTAACTGAAGATTAAACAATGTGTACGCTACCAGTAGCAAACAAAGGTTCTAGTGGAATAATTTCCTTTGGTAATTATATTTTCCTGTCATATATGGTACAAGTATTAAATTTTTCCATTTTAGCTTGATGTGAAGGATGCTAAGATTATTGAAGATCATCCACAATGGGACATTTCTGAAGATGAAGATGCAGAAAAAGATGATGATAGTGATTCTGACTACTCAACAGAAGAGTATGACTCTGATTGATTCCAATAACTACACTGGACAGGAACTTATCACAATGAAGTATTGTCCAAGTGGCTAAAGTCAGTTATGATGCTGCTTGCTTTATGGACATTGTCTTTCTAAATCATCATAAACCAACTTGTACATTGTGTCAATAAAATGTTACCATAGAGCATTATGATGTAAGGGCATTTAAAAAATGTATAAACCATTCGAAGTTTTAAATTACAATAACACTTAGTATTCGCAGATGGAAAATACAGAAATTGAAAAGTTTGTGCTTATATAATTTTATAAGTGACCTTTTAGTTTGTATATGATTAAATGCCATTTAATGAGACTATTTCAGAGGTACAATAAATGAATGATAATATCTATGTTATTTATAATCGTGTTTAGATACTGACAATAAGGGGATGGAAGTTATTTCATAGTATGCTGTTATTGATAAATGAACTCTTCTTCGTCTCTAGTAAAAAAAAAAATGGGTATTATTATTAGATGGCTGCCATTTTATTATCAAAATTGACTTTACACCATTCCATCGTCATGGAGAAAGTTCTTCAAAATTACATAAAACTGCAACCATTTTTGGTAAAAAAAAAATTCAAATGGCATATGTATTTTGAATTTAAAAGCCAAGTTGAAGAAATTTTGGTTCCCAATAAAGAAATTGATTAGGTATTCAGAAAGGATTTAAAACTACACAAGTTAGAATACTAACTGGCAAACCATTTAGACAGATGATCACCTTGACCCTTTTAATTTTGGTTTACAAAAGTGAAGTAGTTTTGAGTCTCATATGGGCAGGTTAAAAAAAAATTCAGTGATGTTCAAGCAAAAGAAATATTTATTGTGGAATCTTATCATTTATAGAATTTAGATAGAATAATGACAAAGCATTCATTTACTTTTCAAATTGCTGCAAAGTAAAAAGTTTTGTTGTATATTGGTCATTGTGTCTGTTCATTTATCTTTATTTTATATCGGCAACTCTTCCTACATGTCCTAAACCAGTGACTAGAAAATCTCCAGTATCTTAAGTCATTGTATACCTCCTGTCTCATCTTTTAGTCCATGTGATCTTTGGAGTTTACAATAACAAACCATGATTTTGTTATATCTATAACAATGGGGAAGGGAATAAATTTGTGAGCTCTGCTCGTATTTTGGTAGTAAAGGGAAACATTGAAATCATAGATTCATTAACGTAAATTTCATTCATATCAGTGTGTTACACCATAATCATATTTTGAATATGTATTACATGTTCTCTAAATTGTATATAAATATTGGTGCTTTGTTGTATAAATATAGAGTATAATATTGCAGTTTATATGTGTGTTAAATATAAATGTGTCTAAATTGACATACATTTGTATAGAATACAGATGAATTGTTAAGAATAATGGTGTACAGGTTATTTATCAAAAGTTTACTTCATTTTGGCTATATTCCACAAACCTTCATTTGCTTACTTTTTATCTAAGTAGAAATTTATCATTTGTTAGATTTTTTAAGCAAACATTCACTACCAGCAATATACATATGTACATTATGAGATTGTCCTTGTAGAAAAAAGATCCTTTGTTTAAATGATCTTAGTGAATTGTATTAAGATTGTCATATACTAAATGTATTGAACATCAAATTTTTTTTATAATGATCTGTAATTTTATATTGAAAGGAGTTAGACCAGGTATGCCTGTATTTAGTTCTAAGATTTGAATGATGTCCTTTCACCTTTAACAGGCAATAATTACTTTCCAATATATAACAATGTATATGACTTGATGAAGCTATTTAAAATAGAATTAAGTGTCAGTTATGGATAAATATAATTATGAAAGTTATGACACAACATGCCAAGGAATATTATAAGAAAGCATTTTTGTAAGACAGCATATCAAATGACATTAAGGGCATTAGATCTTAAAGATGCATAAGAATGTGCATCGTTTGTCCTAACACTAGCCGTTGGTATTCTCATTCAAATCGTTTCACATTTTGTCATGTCATTGAAGGCTGTACAATGACCTATAGTTGCTTACATCCACATTATTTAGACTCTGTTGGATAGTTGTCTCCATGGCAATAATACCATATCTCCCAATTTTATGTATTTTTTTTCCATCAGTTTTATCAATGAGTTCTTATTGTCATTGATATTAAAGATAACTACTCATTGATAGTTTGTATTCCAAACTTAGACAGTGATTAGCATGAATATCATGAAGTCAAAATATTTTTCATAGTTTGCATCATTTGAAAATTGTCAGTCTCATTTAATGTTAAATTCTTAACATGTATTACTGTACAATTCGACACGCAGAATATAAGGGGCCAATTCTACACATGTTTATAAAATATTAGAATCAGTATTTTCAATAAAGATTCATAACATCTCAATTACATCAATCTTCTTGACTTAAACCACATAAAAAGGTTCAGTTATTTTTTTCTCTGGTAAAAAAAGGATTTTGTAGTGTCCATCACTTAAATTACTTTTTATTTATGGTATTAAAATTTTAAATTTTCTGTAAATTCAGAGATCAACAAGACATTATTAATGAAAAAAAAAGACAAAGAAGACAGGATTAATATCGCATTAATTAAAACTTCAATTTTAAATTTTGTTATTTATATTCTATATACTGCAGCAAACGTATTGATAAATCTGGCATTATATTCAGCTAGCAAAAAATATTAATAATATTGAAACTCAAAATAAACAATAATTTTTTTTAATAATTTCTATGCGCTTGTATAAAACTTTATAATCAGATATTTTAGTTATGTTTATGTTAAATATTTTCATAGATGACGGTGGTATTGTCATTGTTCATTCCCTCGCCCCACCATGATGTTCATTTTAATTGCAATACTGTTTTTGTTTTGTCATATTTGTATATAATAGTTATATGGTATCATATTGATTGTATAATTTAATTCCTAGTAATTTATTGGTCACCATTGACAATAAATTATTTATTGGTTTAGTACTATGAACATTATTTATTTTTTTAAATGGAGTGATGAAAAAATGTTGAGAATGATAAGTTATGATAGTGAAGGAAAGATTGGATGTTGATAAATTTGTTTTCTATTAAATATGCAATAACAAAATTTTCTTGTTTTCAAATTTGAAAATATACATTGATATGCAACAAGTATTTATTCATGGTAACTTTTGGTAAACATTTATTAAAAGCCATAATTTTCTAAATACTTTTTCCATAAAATCAAGACCAAAAAATATAAAAAAAAACCAGGAACTTTACAAAAAAGTTGAACTGTAAGAATTGAAATTATACAAATAAATGTTAGTTTAAACATCAGAACATGTACTACATTATAATAATGCTACAACAAAGATGGTATAAACAGCTTCAGACAATTAATATATCAATCAAAGAATTATTTTTTCAGTGAAAATTATGCTGAATGAATACTTTCTGCTTATCATGATTATGTGGAATACTACCATTCACAGAATTCAGACAATTCTCAAGTCTGCTAGTTATTGGAAAAATAGTTAATAAAGATTTTGGTATAAAATTTTTGAAGTATTAAAAATCAATGTAAACATGTTGTTTTTTGTTTTCAGTCAAATGTTCCTTCAGTCAAATGTAAGGAACATTTGATCAGCCTTATCAAACATAATATACATATTGGTTGAGTTTTCAATCATATTTACCTTACAAACTTCTTTACTTCTAAAGTGTTTAGATTTCCACATAATCTTAAATCAATGATTCTTGTCTCCCCTGTCATGACACTAAACTAATCCCTTTTTTAGGGGTGGTGTTGTTGGCGTCATCCTTTATTTGAAAAAAGTTGAGACTACCGGTAGATCCGTTTATGGAGTCAATGATATTTGTATGTAGGTGCTTTTGCACTGGCACATCTCATTTCCATGGACATTTTCTAGGACCTGCCCCCTCAGTAATAGTCCATTCACTTTGAAACCTTTGCATGGTTTACTTGTCATTAGGTCATTTTAAAGGAAACAACTTTTGGTAAGGCAATGGTATTTGGTATGCAGCTTATAAGTTAGCACATCTCATTTCTATGGAAATTATTTGACCCAGTCTCTGCAAACCTGGTCCATTTTTGCATAGTTTATCAGTTATTTGTTTAGAAGAATATCACTGTCACACATGAAAGCACATAAAAAAATATTGAGGAAGATTCCATGTTTTCACATAAATTTCCCTGAATGTTTAAGCAAGTTACTGTGTAAGAAAAATGCAAATTGCTTTTTAATGTCCAGTAATTTCATGCCCACAAGATGAATATTAATAATACATTTTCAATGACTTTAAACTTTACAATTTCCATTTTATTATAGTCCTTATCACAATTTATTTTCCAAACTCAAAGACCATCTTTAACCAACTTGTGCTGAACCTAGGAAAGCTTGACACTCATGAAGTTTCCTGTCAATGGTAAAAAAAAAGTATAAAATATAATTATTCCCCTTTTGCCATCAATCAATATCAAAATTACATACAAACATTTCTCTGTGTCAGCAGTTATTAAGCATATTTAATTAAAGTCATATACATTTGTTATTGACTTCATTACATCAGGAATATTGACCTCTTAAATCTATGCAACAGCAGTTTAACGGTGTTCAAATTCCAAGACTTGATTATAAGAAGATACAAAACAAGGGAATAATCTAGAAACTGAGGGAATCACACCAGATCGTATTAACAGGGTAAGGGTTTCCAGCTATGCATTTATCACCTACCATGCAAATCCACACTTATATAAGAAATATTACAATCAAGAATAAGACACAATCTATGTCCCCTTAACACATGGAATAGCAAATGTACTGAACTTTTACCTGCAAATTTAAAAACACTGCACATGATTGGTGATATTTGTGGTAAATGGTATATATTACTGTTTTAAAATGTGTTCACCATGTGTGTTGGAGGCAACTGTTTCCTTAATCGTGGATTTGAAAAGATAGTATTTTGAAATTCTGATTTGATTATAGGCTAGGCCATTTTTACTATTTTTTTGTAGGTTGCTTCATAGGTTGTTTTGAATGTAAAATTGTGATTACTCGTGAAAATATAAGATATGGTGTAATTTCTGTCATTTGTTTACAAATGTTAAGCTGATCTGTTGTTTGTTTTGTCTGATTGGTAGTTTGTGTTAGTTTTACTCAATAGTAAGAAATCTTTCTAGGGAATACACCGTTTCTATGTAAGACATTTTTGAAAAAGAAAATTTAATCAGAAGACTTTCTAGACGTATATCAAGGCGCGAGTAGTTTACCAATGTTCAGATCTCGAAAATCGATTAGGAAGAGACAATCCAGGTAACAAGCTAAAAACTGAGAAAATCTATATAAATATATTTTTCTTTCGATCCAGTTGGATGGAAAAACATAGCCATCAGAAGTTATTCTTGAAATGACTGATCAGTTTCTTTTTTCACATATTGTACCATAACTTTAATTTGCTTGGATTGATTTACTGGAAACTTGACATAATTTTTGGAATTGGTAAACATATTTAATAAAATAAGTTCTTATCTGTCATTATAAAGTTCTGGGACTTTGACCGTCAGATAAGTGAAAGGCCTTTTTAAATATCATGCACTAGCTATACCGGTAGTATGTTTGAATTACATTACTACAAACTTAACACTGTTGAAAGTAGATTCTCTTGATTTTGAAAATTTTCTGGTTTGCCATTTAAGAATTAAGGGACTCTTAACTGTCATATTTGATGCAATATTTATATGCCTAAGGATATACTCAGTCACGTTTTTAAAGGCAGTGCTTAAATGCCTTTCTGGTTGCCGTGTTAATCTTTCTTTCCGCGATATCCAACTTATCTACGTGGGGGGTCATTTGGCTCCAAGTAGATCCGGAAAATGTTGATTCTCTCCTCTTCTTATTGTGATATAAAATGTTTTTTGTTTCATTTCATTTACATTGGGAAATAGAGAAACGATCATTGTGTTTTGTTAGTTTTAAAAACTTTTGATATATTTGTATTTTGCATTATAAGCAGTCAACCGATTGACAAACTAGAATTATTTGAATTCCGTGTGGAAAGAGGTCGGGTTAATTTCGAGTCTTATCTGCAATCTAGATGTTTATAAATCATTTCATTCGTTGATATAATAATTAAAGGTCGACTGAACATGAATTATATTATACAATTTAAAGCGCATTTCTGTTTATGCACGTGAACCCGTCTAGCGTTATTGTTATTTCGCAGTTTATAAAGTAGCAAATTATCGTTCCTGAATAGGTAGTGGTAGCCGATCCTGTTCTTAAACTTCCGGTTTCTGCACTGTTCAACTATACAGTTGCATTTTTAATTAACGATGCCAATTTCTTGTTGTTGTGTACCTGGATGTCATTTAAGAGGAGGACATGCATTTCCAAATGACTTAAAAAGAAGGAAAAGTTGGATCAACGCCATGGCCCATACGCAGATTGGACGAGAATACGATGAAATCGTGGAGTCCATCTCAATCAGCTGTTGTTTGCACATGTTGCAAGGCACATTTTACTTAAAAAGACTACGTGCAGGAAACTATTCATGGTAAAACTCTACTTTCTTTTTAAAATATATAGTTATATATGTAATCGCCATGCGAATAAACCAAAGTCTGTTTACAACCGCAATTATCGTTTTAGAATAAAAGGGGGTGGTTAATTCAAGACGTCATAATTTTTTGGATTACGATTCAATGTGATCTGTTTGAGATTTTTTGGTGCTTGCTACAATTATAATGATTTCTTACAAGAGGTATATCATACTGAGAATTATTTTAGCAGTAATTATGCTAATGTATTAATGACAGGAATGCATAAGCTATGCCTCATAGACTTTCTTGAAAAATATCAATGACAATGTTAACAGGAACAAAACAATGACATGCTCTCATCTATATTATAGTTATTTAGGTACAAACAATGTACGTTTGTTGCATAAGTCTCTCATTGTTTGTCCTTTGGATTTACATAACATACATTTTGATGTACATTGAATCAGGCTAACATAGATTTATCCAGATTGTAATGAATAAATCTAGTTAATATTTTGCCAGGTAGTACAAAGTATGCATTGCTAATGGAAGTTCATTTAATTATAAAAAAACTAATGTTTTATAACCTTTTTCAGGGCGCAAACCCACCATACAGAGACTTAATTCTACTGCCATTCCCAGCCTATTGTCCTGGACCAAGCAAGAGACTGAATCGTCCGCAAAAAGAAAAATCAGGGCAGTTTCCTGTGAAAACAAAAGAACTAAACTTGATGAATAATGTAGTAGAAATCTAGAGGAAAGTTTTGATTGTAAAGTTGGTTTTCCTGAAGAAGTCATTCATACTGCAGACAGGATTTATGACTGTCCACCACCAACTGCCGAGCTAATGTTGAGCTTCACAGATGGAATTAGGCAAACACCATCAATGCCTATATTTTCAGCAGAGAATTTTGAAATGAAGACACGTGACACAGCCATGCATTTTTATACCGGTTTAGAGTTGTATACTAAATTTTTATTTGTTTTGACCACACTTGGTCCAGCAGCACATTGTTTGAGATACATATATTTTCAAATTGATAGGGTGTCATTTGAAAATCAGTTTTTTTTATGACTTTGATGAAATTGAGCCATTATACAACCAACTTTGAACTGTCTAGATTCTAGATTGAAACTAGTGTTAAGAATGTTGTGTAAACATGGATTGTTTTTATGTCTAAACAGTGGCGTGAGGCTAACACTTGGCCATTTAGTGGTTTAGTCAGGTATTTTTCGCCATCCAACTTCAAATTAAAGTTTCCTACAACTTGGATTATTATTGACAGCACATAATATCCGGTGATAAAACCTAAAGCTCCTAGAGCTCAGGCAACCTTTTCATCATATAAAAACAGAAACACTGAAAATACTTGTATGTTCGACACCTGGTGGTTTAGTCAACTATGTCTCTAATGCATATGTTGGTTGTACCAGTGACTGTGAAATAGTTGAAAGATGTAGAATAGTTCAATTATGTGATCCAGGTGACAGTGTGATGGCAGACAAAGGTTTCAATGTGCAAGATTTGTTTGCTCAATTTTTTCAAAAAAAGAAACAGAATACATTGTAAGTTCCAAAACTCTTATACGGGATAGAAAAGTCTCCAATTAACACGTGCACATAGAGCTAATTATTGGACTTGGTAAAACATACAAAATTCTAATAAATCCTATGAATGGAACTGAAATAAAACTTTCATCTGAAATAACATTTAGTTGTTTTATGTTGTGTAATTTTAGAACTTGTATTGTGCCAACATGGCCAAAGGATGCATAAATAAAAGTGACGCAATGAAGTTTGTTCTGATATATATATATATATATATATTTACAATTACATGCACATGTAAATTGTAATGCATATAAAAATAAGGAGATGTGGTATGATATTCAGTGAGTTTATCGAACCAAAGTGCATAAGAAATGGGTTAAGCAGTTACAGGTGTTACTGTCACCGTACAATCTCCAACAATGAGAAAAACTTGTACCTTGTAAAAAATTTCAGAGATCTTACAACTAAGTT